TTCTAATAAAAAACGTTTTCCCGTTAATATTTAGTGAGAAACAAATAGTACTATTCAGCTAACAATCAACATAAACACAATTATAGTTTCTACTCAAATTTATAAAATATGTATAAAAATGTTACCCTACCCCACCCATTTTTAACACGTGTTTGACTATTTTCCTACTTAGGGATCCCAATTTAAAAAGTCCTTAAATTTACCCAAATGAGTGCCTGTTTTCAAAGTTTCCCTACATTTTTAAAAAAGTATATTGGTTGATCTTGTAAAATATTAAATACTTTTACCGTCTAGTTTTGATTTTATTACACTTTAGAATATCAGGTACCATATTTATCACTAGGTTTGGCATTATTTAGCCAATAGATACCTATAAAAATTAAATAATAAAAAATAAACACTTATTTCTACCAAAAATGGATGGAGAGATACATAAATAATGTTAAAAGAAACAAAAGAAAGAAGAAAAAAAAGTTGACCCATCTGAGGTTTGAACCCATGGCCCTCAGTTTCAATGTAGTTAACTAGTTCTAGACTATTTGAATACTCTTCAAAGCAGAGGTAAGGCATTAGAATGGCATTACCTTAAATTTGAGACTATGGAACATTCAGATTTAAGGTTTACGATCAATAGTTATATAGTATATGAAACGAGTTAGTTACGAGGATATAACACTGGGCGACATCAAGGAATGTTTCTGCTAAAAAATTGAGAGAATCATCCCGAGATGTCGCCCAAGCCAGTGTTATACCCCCGCTACTTACGAGTTTAATATACTATAATTGTTTTATCGCATTTCATTTTTTTTCAATATAAATCAGAAGAACTACCCATCACAGATAAAATGAACCAATACCAGCTAATGATGTTGTAAGCTACCTTACAGTTATATATTATTGAAAACAACGTCCAATGTTAGAGACGGATTGTAAGAAAGTTATTCGGATTCAATATTTAAGGGCTTCAGTGGAAATATTTCATTCAGCGGATGTACCTATTGATTTCAGCAGTTGCATAATTATATGAGAATTAATACATTTCATTAATTTTCTTTCTTATTTATTTATTATCGCATGGCTGTGAGCTTTTCCTTTGTTCTTTCTAACCCATTATACTCAGTACACTTCAATGAGCATTTTAAAACTGTATTGATATATAACAGTACAGTTTTTTCATTGATTCATATAGGAAAAAAACTCGACTGTTATATATCGGTCGAGTTTTTTTCGCACCTGTTATATCAATACAGTTTTTTCATAGAGGCTCCAATGGGGCAGTGGTAACGACCATTCCCAGTAGCAAAAAAAAAACCATTAACTAATAAAAAAATGAAATCGATAAAATAAAATAAAACAAATATATAAATAACAAAAAATATAGACAAAGATAATAAATGAAATAAAAAAGCCCTTTAATCTTAAATCAATCTTGGTAACAGTATACAATCCGCCTCTTATATTGGATGTCTTTTGTATATTTTTTGCGGCAGAATGATAAATAACTGCAATGTAGCTAACGATTAATTTATTTATTTGTATCTATAAAAAAAAGAAAACATTATGCCATTGCGATAAAACAGTTATAGTATATGAAACTCGTTAGTTACGGGGGTATAACACTGGCTGGGGCGACATCTCGGGATGTTTCTGCAAAAAAAATTGTCTCGGCCTAACGGCCTCGCCATTTTATAGCAGAAACACCCCTTGATGTCGCCCCAGCCAGTGTTATACCCTCGTAACTAACTCGTTTCATATACTATAACTATTACTTATTATTACTTTTTTTAGCAACTGGAAATGTTCGTTACCGCTGTCCCATTTGAGCCTCAGTTGAAAAACTTCACTGATATATATAAGGTGCGAAAAAAAAAAACTCAACCGCATACATCAAAGCTCTATGCCTTGAACCTTTAGACAATTATATTTTTTTTTACTATATGTACATAATGAAAATCAATGACCCCCGGGGCGGAATCAATTTTGACCCCAGGGCTATAATTTGAACAATCTTGGTAGAGGTTCACTTCGCAAAGTCTCATGCCATATATTTAACCTCTAGGTTTTGTCAATTCAGAGAAGATTTTTCAAGTTTTTACTTTATATCTATAAGGAAAACTATCGCCTCTGGGACAGGGCAGTTTTAACACTAGGGGCATAATAAAAACAACTTTAGTAGAGGACCCATTAATGATATTATATACCAAATATCAAAGCTCTAAGCCTTGTACCTTCAGACAAGAAGATTTTTTATTTTTTTACTATATGTAAATAGTGAAAATCAATGACCTCTGGAGGGTTGGGCCAATTTTGACCCCAGGGCTATAATTTGTACAATCTTGCTAGACGTTCACTACACAATGTTTCATGCAAAATATCTTAACTCTAGCCTTTGTAACTTTAGAGAAGAGGATTTTTAAGTTTTTAGTATATATCTTTCTTGTCCTTTGATGTACAGCTATGAAATTTAAACCATATGCACAGATTAAGATGTAAAGTGAACTTTGATATCAGCTGACCTAGATTTTGACAAAGTGTCTTACTGTGTTGTCCTTTGATGTAGTCATGAAATTTAGGCTGTGTGAAATATGACCTTCACTAGACTCAAGTGCATTGATATAATTTCCTACTCTGATCTTTTATTGGATTAACAATATATTTAACCACTAATCTGATAATAAGAATTAGATAGGTCAGGGATCTATGCATCTTCAATTGTATAGAAACAAAAAAAATCTGTTCCTACACTACTATTTAGTGTTGTATTAATGCGGTGGCATAGCATTTTTCTCAAATGCAATCTTGTTCTTGAATAACTTTGCTCATGTTTTAAATTTTCAGCAATGGCTAATGCGTGTAGTGGTTAGGTGTATAGTGTTACAGGTCGACTTGATGTGGCCAGTTGTGTTTCTTTTTAGCTCACCAGAACCGAATGTTCAGGGTGAGCTATTAGTATCAAAGGGGGATGCTCCGGCGTCAACAATCGTCTTCTTCTCTGAAACTACAAAGCAGATTTACTTCAAATTTGGTCTGTAGCATCCTTGTGACAGTCACACTTGAAATTGCTCGTGTAATTCCAATTGGCCACTTTTAGGGGTCAGCAAAAGCTAAAAATAAAAAAACCTTTAAACATCTTCTACAGAACTAATTGATGGATGATCACCAAACTTTGTCTAGCATTCTTGGGTAGTCTTTAATCAAGTTTGCTCATATCAATTTGATTGGCCCCTTTTAGGGGTCTCTAGGGCTAAAAATAGAAAAAAAAACCTTTAAACATCTTCTTCTACAGATCTAATGCATGGATGATCACCAAACTTTGCCTGTAGCATTCTTGAGTAGTATTTTATCAAGTTTGCTCATATGAATTTGATTGGCCCCTTTAAGGGGCAGCTGAAGCTAAAAATAGAAATACCGTTAAATGTCTATTTCTAGAGACTTATTGATGGATGATCACCAAATTGTGTCGGTAGCATTATTTGGTAGTCTTTTATCAAGTTTGCTCATATCAATTTGATTAGCCCCTTTTAGGGGCCGCTAAAATTAAAAATAGAAATACGTTTAAACATCTTCTCCTACAGAACTAATTGACGGATGATCACCAAACTTTGTCTGTAGCATTTTGGGTTATCTTTTATCAAGTTTGCTCATATTAATTTGATTTGCCCCTTTTCGGGGCAGCTGAAGCTAAGAATAGAAAAACCTTTAAACATCTTCTACATTTTAACTTCAGAACCAATTGATGGATGATCACCAAACTTTGTAGCATTCTTGGGTACTCTTTTATCAAGTTTGCTTATATTAATTTGATTAGCCCCTTTTAGGGGCCACTAAAGCTAAAAAAAACCCCAAAAAACCTTCTAACATCATTTCCTACTAAAATAATTGATTGATGATCACCAAACTTTGTAGCACTCTTAGGTAGTCTTTTACCAAGTTTGCTCATATAAATTTGATAAGCCCCGTTTAAGCTAAAGCTTAAATGCCCCAGGTCATGGCATTTCTTCAAATTATTGTTTAAACATATTCTTTGCTTAAATTTAATATAAGGAAATATTGACATTCCAACACTGAAAAGCAGTTGTTTCTGGTGAGCGACTCAGGGCCATCATGTTTATATTTCTTTTGTTTACAATGGGGGTTTGTGTTAGGTTCACAGTTTCACAGTTCTACAACAACCCGACATGATACTATGATCCAGTAAGTTTTATAGGCCGACTACATGTGATCGGCTACTTGGTACTCTACGTACACTGCCTATGGTTCGAATATGATCGAGTGGCTCTACGCTCAACTCGGCAATATTAGCTCAACCTCCTGATGCTTCTTCCTTTAAAGTGTATAGTCAAGGGGGGTTACTTGTGATCGGTATTCTATGTGCACTGCTTATAAGGTAAAGGTAAAGGTCTTGTTTATTATAGTGTCACCCCTACTGAAAGGGCCAGCCATTTTGACTTATGAGACACCTTTTGGTTGCATACCATGTACCTCCCAATTCCTACCACTATGCCAGGCGCCAGGCGAGTAGAAATCGGTAACCATTCATTTTAACTACCTCGCGGCTCACGAAGCGGCTTATATTTCGAACATGGTCGAGTGGCTCTATGCTCAACTCGGCAAGAGTCGCTCAAACCCCTTGTGCTTCTTCCTTTAAATTGTATAGTCAACGGGGGTCGACACTGAACGTTCGTTCGAAATCGATCGAATGGCTGAAAACTCTAATAGGTCTTCTACATTTGATCGGTTACTTGGTATTCTATGTGCACTGCTTATGGTTCGATATGATCGAGTGTCTCTACCATCAACTCTGCAAGATTTGTGTAACAGTGTTGTCCTTCTTCCTTTAATGGGGGGAGAGCTTATTAGGCCGACTACGTGTGATCGGTTACGTAGTGTTTACGTACACTGTCTCATGTTGGCACTGAACATGTAGTCGAGTGGTTCTTGGTGTCGACTCTTTATTTTAAGGCTGCACCAGAGTTGCAAAAGTAAACAACAAAGACAAGTTTATAGTTCAACAATTGTAAATATATATTTGACTAACTAGTGTAAACAATGCAATTCATTCATTTCTTAACGTGTCTCCGTCGCCTCCGCCTCCATGGCACGTACAGCGTCCTGAAAAAAAAGAAAAAGAGCAATTCACATCTTTGAATGTTTTTTTTTTTGGTTTGAATCGGAATGCAGTGCAATTCATAACTTTGAATGTTTTTGGCTTGAAAAGGTTGTTCCGGTTAGGTGGTTTCCTGCTTACATTTGTTAGTGCATGATTGAACGGGAAACCAGCTGCAATCATGCCAATCGCAACTTTTCGGCCCTTTCCGTCACTCTTCGGATTAATGTTAATGGCCGAGGTAGTTCCGATTGCAATCGTGACAATTCTGGCGATTCCGTCATACTGCGGAATCAGACGAAGTAATATTACGGAAATCTAAGCTATTTTAGTTACTTCGGTAATACCAGTTTGTTTATATAAATAGGATTTCTATTTTTACTTTATTTTGTTTTACGCAAAAGTTAGATTCTTTTATAATTGGTTTTTGACTTTATAAGTTTTATACAATAGAGTATGGTTACTGTAGTAGTATTCCGCCTCAAAAGGGCGGTCCTGCTTGACCGAATTATGCAGAATATTAGTGCATGATCAAGTTATATTTAGATCTACTGACAGAGTTTAAACATCTTGGAGAGGTAATCTAAAAATAGCCCATGCATATCATTTACCTTACCACGTGCTGATCTCCTGTGTTGTCGGTATATCTGTAATCATAGATGTTTTAGGTGTAACGCTTATTAATTGGTAGTCTTTTAGTGCATTTACTTGTCTCTAAAGCTGCTATAAACTGCAAAAACGAATGACTCTGTCTGCGAAAAAAGTGGAAATGAAATGTGCACACTTGTTTCCCTTCAGTATGATAGATTGATCTCCACGTGATAGCCAATCTTAGTATTTTTACGATTGATTGGCGTGGCGCCCTTTATGGAATGAAATTAGATTTTTGTGATAGGGCGACAGCAACTTCTCGAGCCTTTTAGTCGGTCATAATAAAAGCCGATCATTCCGATCGATATGAGGGTGCTTGATTATTAATTAAAAATGAAATGTCGCGATATGTACAATGAATAGCGAACTGGAGAATTTCGCAATGCAAATATTTTCAAATGAAATAACCTTTTCCGTCAATTAATCGCGCTCTTCGGGGAATTTTTATTTATCATTTTGTAGTACACAGTGGGTTATTATGGTATGTTATTATTTTACATGTATCCGAAAGCTGTAAATAAAATGATGAGTTGATGACCTAAATATTCCGAAATCTATTTATAGAGGGATGTACTCCTATCGGTAATTCCCGGTCTATTTTGACCGGGATTTACTTGTGACCGGCGAATAGTGCCACACGTTTATTGTCCAGTCTCTCCCGGTTTTGGAATCGTTACAGAACAGAACAAATATTTTACAGATAAATAAGCTTTTTTTTCAAAATGAATGTTTGTCACTTAATTTGGTTACAATAATTAATAAACACAGATCAACTCTCAAATTTATTGATTATTATTATTATACATACGGCATACAATTCGACAAAAAAAAACATCAACAATAGTTTTATTTTATCTATATGAGATAAAAACAATAAGTATGTACAATAATTGAGAAAAAAGGTACATTGTTATGGTATCAATATGACACTATCAACTTTGGAACATTTTATTTAATTTGTTATTCGTGTTTAGTAAAGATGCCGAGGAATGATCCAAAGTTAAAAATTAGATTTTATGAATTATTCAATTGATTGATAGTTAAAAAATGATAAAGAAAAATACAAATGTACATGTATATGGTTTAAGAATAAACAATATTATATATTGAAAGATTAACCATAATTTACTGACTTTTTCCAGTTAAGTTTTGACGTATAATCGTCGGTCAATATGACAATTGAATTATTAACATAGTAGTAAACGTAAAAACTCAGTATTAAAATAACACATAAAACACAAAAAAGAAAAGAAAGCAATATTCATAAAATCTGTATTTTTTTTATTAAAATAGATATTATGCTCAGCATGATCAACATGGTAATATAACCAGTGTCATAGTGTTGTTACTAAGTGTGAATAGATACCGTAAGAGGGGGTCTATGCTAATAGCGATAACATAATAAGGGACAATTACACAAGTGTGGTGTTGATCATGCGTTACACAAATGGATTATAAATGATTGTATAACATAACATAATCTTTATTTGGCATAAAAAAGCATGAGCATACATATAGCCAATATACTTTCAATTACATATGAAAAGGGATAAACGTGTTACAAACATTGTACAATATTTAACAATTTACAGACGAATGGTACAAAACAACAATACTGAACAGAATAGAACAATAAATTAACCTCTTAAATGTTATATATTTTCAGTTTATTTTATTCTAAATATTTTGTAATTCTCTTTTTTGAAATGCATGTATATCCCGTTATCCGTTGCTATTATTAACCACGATCATAAAGAAATAACAAGTAATATTCTAATCTCTAGCATGCCAATCAAAGTTAATAATGAACAATGTCTTTCGTCCGTTCATTCATAAGTGATATACAATTCTGGTAAAAACCAATTAACCATTGAAAAGTTCATAAGAATATCTTGTCATCATATATCTACTAGCTCATCTTCACCTGCTGCATTCCTTGCTTGGACGCCCTTTGATGCTTTACATCAATGCTTTTCTTGTTACTTTCTTTATTAGTTTTATACAATAGAGAATAGATTTCGAATCGTTTTTGACAAAAAATATTCGTGTTTACAAAAAAAAGTTGCTACTGTTATCGTTAGCATGTTCCCGTTCAGTTATAAACAGTGGACTTCTAGGTCCCTATTTGGTCCAAATTTGCACGCATAACACTGGTGCTCAAACAAATGGGCACAGTCCAGTCTTGGGCTTACCCTACCTATCCCTTTAAAAGTGAAACTTTTTTTTCGAGAAAAAAAAAAATATACAAATACCGTAATTAAAAAAAAAATGATAAAAAATTGAAACAATTTTTTTTTTTTAAAGGGAATGGATGATGGCACAACTGAGCAAGCCTTTCCTTTTAAAAGGAAACTTTATTTGGGTTTGAATCGGAATCCAAGATTCGGAAAATAGACCTAATGTATGTCACTCTTACCTTGTATGCACCCTGATTCACGTCCAGGGCCTTGCCTCTCTCCGTCCTTAGATTGGCCCTGCTGTAATAGCGGTCAGCCGTCTCCACCGGTGGGCCATATGCAAGACCAGAGCTGTCTGCTCCTCGCGGCTGGCCCCGCTCTCACGGTGGGTGGAGACGGCAAACTTTTGGCTCATAAAGGCGGTCAGATGGGGCAGGTCCAGCCCCTTGGCCTTTGCAAAGGCCACCCAGTCCGTATCTACCATCTTTGACATGTTCTGTGAAAAGAAAAGTACAGATTATAGTGTATTACTATTATGCCACCTTAACAGTGTACATGTATATCGCGAGTAAACAGCATCCTTAAAACAATTCAGTTCAATTGAAACAATAAGAAAGGTGTGAATTATACTCACGGAAGTTGTGACCTTGCCACCCGGGTAGGTGGTGTAGGCATACTCGGAGCTGATATGGGCAGGAGTTGCGTTCTTTAGAAAACGCTGCAGGGTCTCCAGCTCCGAGTCTGAGCGGGCACCTCTTTCCGCTTTGCCATCTTGTGCTGTATGATCTGAAATGTATAAAAGAGTCATCAAAATAGTGAAAAACAGAAATCATTGTTTAAGTATACAATCACATAAAATTACAAATCTTCAATCACTGCCTAACATTTATAAATCTTGGATAATACTAATAAACCACAGACGCTTGGGGTTTGGAGCTCAAAACGCCTTTAAAATCCAAATAAAATGCATATTTGTCAATCCCAGCACATGTACTGATCATATATATCAAAAATACTTAATATAAGCCGTTTTGAAAAAAATTCATATTTCAACATCTATAATAATACACAAGATAAAAATGTTCGCCGGAAAAAATCCGCACCCCTACCGTCATAATCACCATGTATTTTATTCCATTTCCAATATTTTCACATAATCCTTTGGTCCATCGACACAGAAGATATAATTCTTCACGATGATGGTCAATTTTAAACTTCAACGGTAATATAAACAACGCAACAGCCGAAATAAACATCAATATTATCGCCGTTTTCCTTCAATGACATTATCTTTCGATAAATTCAAACGTGCCAGACGGCTATGACCGAAGCCATCCGATTATGTGGCCCCAGCTTTGCCGTGTGCAAATTGCGCAGCGCGTTTAAGTGTGGGAACCACATAATCGGATAGCTTCGTTCATAGCCGTCTGGTTCATTGAATTTATCGAAAGATTTTGTAGTTGGAAAAAAACGGCGATAATACGTGTCTTTGCCCTGTCCTTTTTATGTTTGGGGTCCGCCTGGGCTCCTTGCCATTGGGTTCTTGTTGCTTGGTCATGTGGGGGTTGCGTTCAATGAACGCCGCCTTTCCTTGTTGATCTTGTTTATCATATTTTTTACTTGGGGACCATACGCCGCTTTTTATGGAATGGCACTACTGTGTCACATTGAAGGTTCCATGATAAGCGCCGTATGAACACATCTGCGAATGTTTCTAAATTCAAAATTTCACCATTTTCGTGTTAAAATTCTGCTTAAGACGGTGCTAGGAGGCGTGGACAGTAACTTGCCCTTTCCAGTACCGTCCATGAACAGGCTCAATCAAACCGAGCCTGCAACATTTTCAATTTTGTTGTGTTGGACTTTCTTGAGGGATTCTGTTTTTCTCTATTATTTTGAATACTGTATAATCACCCTTAGGATATGTTGCCTGCTTTTTAAATTTGTCTTTTGACGTCTTATCTGTGATATGCAGGCTTCATAACCTCAGATCCCCTTTCAAAATTCCATTTTATTTAGTTCCGCCCATTGTTTTCTCGTTTAGGGCAATAGGATTATTTTACTTGGGGACCATACGCCGCTTTTCATGGAATGGCACTACTGTGTCACATTGAAGGTTCCATGATAACCGCCGTATGAACACATCTGTGGATGTTTCTAAATTCAAAATTTTTGTGGGCCTAATATTATTTTCTTTGAATTCCTAATCAGTTACAAACAAGAATTTGTAACAGAGTTACCAACGTCCCCCGCCACGGGAGTTTTATATGAAGCATAAAATTGTGCTATTTCAAAAGATTGAGGTATGGATCTCAGGACATTCAGTCCAAAATTATGATCAATGCTAGATCTGCAAATGTAACAATAAATTTGTTAAAAAAATAAAATGAAACACGGAATTTAAAAATCTATCATGTTAAGCTTTGACCTCTAAGTGTGAACTTGACCTTGGAGGTAGGGGAGCAGGTGTTGTGCATGACATAACGTCTTATTATTGTGACTATTTGTGCCAAGTTATTTCAAAATCCCTTGAACTATGAAGAAGTTCTAGATTCAACACAAAATATACCCTATAACAGACTATGTTAATTTTTTACCTCTAAGTGTGACCTTGACCTTGGAGGTAGGGATGCAGGTGTTGCGCATGACACATCCTCTTATTATTGTGACTATTTGTGCGAAGTATTTTCACAATCCTTTGATCTATGAAAAAATTATAGACCCGACACAAAATATACCCTGTAACAGACTATGTAAGTATTTGACCTCCAAGTGTGACCTTGACCTTGGAGGTAGGTGACCGGTTTTTGCGCATGACACATCATCTGATTATTGTTAACAATTATGGCAAGTATTTACAAAAGTCCTTCATAGATAAGAAAGTTATGGACTGGACACGACATATACCCTCAAATAGACAATGTTGACCTTGAATGAACAAGTACGACCTTGACCCTGAAGGTACGGGTCTGGTTGTTGCGCATGACACATCGTCTTATTATAACAAACATTTGCGCCAAGTCATCTCAAATTCCTTTGATAAATGACAAAGTTATGGACCGGACACGAAATATACCCTGTAACAGACTATGTTAATATTTGACCTCCAAGTGTGACCTTGACGTTGAAGGTAGGCAACTGGTTTTTGCGCATGACACATCCTCTGATAATTGTGAACAATTATGGCAAGTATTTACAAAATCCCTTCATAGATAAGAAAGTTATGGACCGGACACGAAATATACCCTGTAACAGACTATGTTTATATTTGACCTCCAAGTGTGACCTTGACGTTGAAGGTAAGTGACTGCTTTTTCCGCCTGACACATCCTCTGATAATTGTGAACAATTATGGCAAGTATTTACAAAATCCCTTCATAGATAAGAAAGTTATGACACGAAATATACCCTGTAACAGACTATGTTAATATTTGACCTCCAAGTGTGACCTTGACGTTGAAGGTAGGCAACTGGTTTTTGCGCATGACACATCGTCTGATTATTATGAACAATTATGGCAAGTATTTACAAAAACCCTTCATAGATAAGGAAGTTATGGACCGGACACGAATTATACCCTGTAACAGACTGTTAATATTTGACCTCCAAGTGTGACCTTGACCTTGAAGGTAAGTGACTGCTTTTTCCGCATGAAACATCCTCTGATAATTGTGAACAATTATGGCAAGTATTTACAAAATCCCTTCATAGATAAGAAAGTTATGGACCGGACACGAAATATACCCTGTAACAGACTATGTTAATATTTGACCTCCAAGTGTGACCTTGACCTTGAAGGTAGGTGACTGGTTTTTGCGCATGACACATCGTCTGATTATTGTGAACAATTATGGCAAGTATTTACAAAATCCCTTCATAGATAAGAAAGTTATGGACCGGACACGACATATACCCTCAAATAGGCAATTTTGACCTTGAATGAGCAAGTGTGACCTTGACCCTGGAGGTAGGGGTCTGGTTGTTGCGCATGACACATCGTCTTATTATAATAAACATTTGTGCCAAGTTATGTCAAATTCCTTTCATAAATGACAAAGTTATGGACCGGACACGAAAGTGTCATATTTCACCATTTTTGTGTTAAATGTTGATTCTGCTTAAGCCGGTGCTTGGGGGCGTGGACGGTAACTTGCAATTTCCAGTTTGTTTGTTTGGATTTTACGGCACGTCAACACATAAATGGCCATATCGTGCCGAATGCTAAAATAGGCTTAAACTATTATGTAAAACGTTGTAAATAAAAATAAAAAAAAGAGCCAATCAGATCTTTGAATACAAGTTTATCTCTTTCAAATAATCGATGATGTTTTTTGATGGAATTGTATTAAAGAGTTCTTTGAGTGAGTTTACATTATAAAATCTGTTACGGGCCTGTGAAAAATCATGACATTCCAGAAGAAAATGCTTGACAGTAAAATTTTCATTACAGCCTACACAGATAGGGGCATTGTCATCCGTGAGGAGATAAGAATGGGTAAAATATGATAAACAAGATCAACAAGGAAAGGCGGCGTTCAATGAACGCAACCCCCATATGACCCAGCAACAAGAACCAATGGCAAGGAGCCCAGGCGGACCCCAAACATAAAAAGGACAGGGCAACGACACGTTAATCATTAAATGATAAATGATTTGTAACTGATGGGGAAGGGGACAGGAGACCGGGGGAAGGGTTCACTATTAAGTGTTGAGAATTGAGTACCGCTCAAGCCGGTGCTAGGGGGCGTGAGGGATGTTGCACTTATTCATTATCTCTCATGTACAGACTCAATCAAACCGAGTCTGCAATTCTCATGTAATTTTGTTGGGATTAATGCTTCCGAGGGATCACTTTGTTTCCAGAATTTTTTAATCAAAGAAATAAAAACTAGAGGCAATTGGGGAAGATACTTACCGTAGACGAGAAAACAACAAGGGACACAAGCAAAAGTGTCACCAAAACAGTATGAAACAACATAGACATACATCTGAGGAACACAGTGGGGCGCCGCCTTGGAACGGTCAGCAGCATAATGACTGCTGGGGTTTAATATGTAAACAAGATTAAACCGGTTAATGGTGCACCAAACCTCGCTCTTAGTGTGTCCAATTCGGCATCGAAGAAGAACTGTTTGATCATGGCGGTTTGACAAAGACAGAGATGGTTCCATGAACAGGCCCAATCAAACCGAGCCTGCAACATTTTCAATTTTGTGGTGTTGGACTTTCTTTTTCTTTCTTCTGTTTTTCTCTATTTCAATCAAACCGAGTCTGCAATTCTTATGTAATTTTGTTGTGATTAGTGCTTCCGAGGGATCCTGTTCATGGACGGTACTGGAAAATGCAAGTTACCGTCCACGCCCCCTAGCACCGGCTTAAGCAGAATTCAACATTTTAACATGAAATAGTAAAATTTTGAATTTAGAAAGAAACATCCGCAGATGTGTTCACACGGCGGTTATCATGGAACCTTCAATGTGACACTTCCGTGTCATTCCATGAAAAGCGGCGTATGGTCCCCAAGTAATAAAAAGCGTGTGCCCTAAACGAGAAAACAATGGGCGGAACTAAATAAAATGGAATTTTGAAAGGGGATCAGAGGTTATGAAATAGATAAATATGGAATCCCTCAAGAAAGCCCAACACGGCAAAATTGAAAATGTTGCAGGCTCGGTTTGATTGAGCCTCTTCATGGACGGTACTGGAAAGTGCAAATTACCGTCCACGCCCCCTAGCACCGGCTTAAGCACAATTCAACATTTAAACATGAAGTAGTAAAATTTTGAATTTAGAAACATCCGCAGATGTGTTCATACGGCGGTTATCATGGAACCTTCAATGTGACACTAAGGTGCCATTCCATGAAAAGCGGCGTATGAAATAGAGAAAAACGGAATCCCTAAAGAAAGTCCAACACAACACAATTGAAAATGTTGCAGGCTCGGTTTGATTGAGCCTGTTCATGGACGGTATTGGAAAGTGCAAGTTACCGTCCACGCCCCCTAGCACCGGCTTAAGCAGAATTCAACATTTAACACGAAAATGGTGAAATTTTGAATTTAGAAACATCCGCAGATGTGTTCATACGGCGATTAAGCCTGCGTATAAGGCGGCGACCCTCTGTGTTCCTCAGATGTATGTCTACATTGTTTCACTGTTATTGTGACACGTTTGCTTGTGTCCCTAGTTGTTTTCTCGTCTACGGTAAGTATCTTCCCCCTTTACTCCTAGTTTTTATTTCTTTGATTAAAATATGAAAAACAAGATCAACAAGGAAAGGCGGCGTTCAATGAACGCAACCCCCATATGACCCAGCAACAAGAACCAATGGCAAGGAGCCCAGGCGGACCCCCTCCCCTTCGACTTTGTGGGCCTACTATTCAATCATTTATTTTGTTTCTTTGTATTCCTAATCAGTTTCAATTTATT